CTTAACATGTTTTCTTGGTTATGTCCATGTTATAGCATGTATCAGAACATCATTACTTTTTATTGGCAAATAATACCCCATTGTATAAATATATCACATTTTGTTTATCTTGGGTATATAACTAGGAGAGGATCTGCTGGGTCATATGCTAACTCTGCTTAACTTTTTAAAGAACTGCCAAACTGGTTTCTGAAATAGTTGGCAGTTTACATCCTACCAACAATTTCTCCAATCCTAACCAACACTTCTTATGATCCATCCTTTTTACCATAGCCATACTAAAACGTATGTAGGTATCTAGTAGGTACCTCATTGTGGTTTTGATTTACACTTTCCTTGTAACTAATAACATTGAGTGACATTAGTTTTTAAGAACCCAATTCTTTATAATGCTTTTCTATTATAAATTCCTTTCAGTCCACAGGCCGACGCTCTATCCACTGAGCCAAGCCGATTAGGGCAAGTCTTATTATTTTTAAAAAAGCAAATTTTGCTTGTTATTCCATAATACATATTTATTGTGGAAATGCCTCAGATTTAATTATTTCCTCAATTAATTCCCCAATACTCTACCAAAGTATGACAAAATTTTGAAAGCTGGAAAAAATCACTTACCATAAGAAAACTAGAGAAAAGTTCATGTGAACACAAAACCTTAAAAAGAACTCTTTTGAGTTCTGGCACCACTTAAAATAGACCAATAACAGTACCACTTTTACCCAACATAAACTGTCAGGTATAACATAAGTCTCCCATTTTTGGTCTTTTATTCAATTCCAAGAAGGAAAAAAGAAAAGTGAAGACAAAGTAAATTTAAAAAAAAAAAAAAAAAGGAGTTCCTGGATAATAGCTGATTTCAAGTCTTACATCAGAAAAAAAATTTTTTGTTAGATCTGGAACCTTCTGCTGTTGTCAACAGGTAAGGTTGTTTCTAAAAGTATCACAGGTGCTGTGCTGAAAAGATTCCTTTTAAGACTCTCCTTGCCCTGGCTGGTTTCGCTCAGTGGATAGAGCATTGACCTGCGAACTGAAGGGTCCTGGGTTTGATTACAGTCAAGGGTTGTGGGCTCAATCCCCCAAAGGCGGCGTGCAGGAGGCAGCCGATCAATGATTCTCTCTCATCACTGATGTTTCTATCTCTCTCCCTCTCCCTTTCTCTCTGAAATCAATAAAAATATATTTTTAATAAAAGACTCTCCTTAAAGGGGCTGTCATTGGCTATGTAATAAAAATTTATGTAATGACATACTATAATTCTCCTGCCACTCCTCCTTTTACTATGATGAAATATGACAACCATCAGTAAGTTAAAACATCAGAAAATGCTTTAAGCCCATAACAACATGAAGCACGAAAAAAAAATGAAGTATACAAAAGAGAGGGTGAATAAAAATAGTTTTTTTCCTTGCCATAATTAGTCAGTGATTATATATTTATTTTTTCTTGTCCTATTATTTATATTTTCTCATCCTATTATTTGTATATGACCTAATTAATGTGCTTGTTTCCATCTGTACAGTCTGAATAGTATAAACTCTGGGAACTTTGAAAAAGCCAGCCTCAGAAAAAAGGGACCACTAAATCAAACCAGGGAAGACTATCACAGCTTGGCCTCACATAATAACCCAAGATAGGAAAGGTATTCCACATTAGTCAGAACCAGCAGACACAAATCCAATAGAGATAGGGTATGATAAAATAATAAATAAGTTGAATGTCCCAAATAATTCATTGCATACTCAACCCATTATCACTTAGGAAATGAACAATTTGTTAACATATTAAATCCATCATGATAGCATGGTAAGTTGTAATGATACTGCAGGCCATGTAAAACTTAAAGCACACACAATGTCCAATAAAGAAAATGAGTTACAAAACTAAAAATCTGTATTAAAAAATGAATTTACATACCCAATGAAGAATAAAAAGGGACTGAGTGTAATGGTCACTGGTTCAGGTTTAATGATCTTTTACTGTGCAACCAAGTCTCAGGTATCAAACAAGAATTAACTAAGAACTCAGCCTTAAAATTAGTCTTTTTTTTTCTCTCAAATCTGATTTGGTATTTGTGTCCTACCTCCTTTTTTTTATTTTCTAAATTTTGCTAGAAGTTTGTCAATTTATTAATCCCCAAAATAAACCTCTGGCTTTGTTAATGTTCTCTATTGTACATTCATTATTTCTTTATTTACTTATTTTTCTATCTATCTATCTATCTATCTATCTATCTATCTATCTATTATTTATTCATGGAGAGAGAGAAACATTGATTGGTTGCCAGGGACAGAACCTGCAACCTAGGTATGTGCCCAGACCGGGAATCAAACCCACAACCATTAAGTATATGGGACAATGCTCTAACCAACTGAGCCACACCAGCCAGAGTGATTGTACATTCACTTTATGTTCTAATATATATAAATTTATATTTGAGCTCTTATTCTTATTATTTCCTATTTTAGGCTTTCTTTTGGTTTCAGTATATTTTTTCTTAACTTCTTGAGATGAATATATAGATCATTAATTTTTTAGCATTCTTCTTTGCTAGCATATGCATTTATGGCTACATATTTTCTTCAGCTTCAGCAACACTACAGATTTTTATATTTTCATTATCATACACTTAAAAAAATTTTTAATTTCTATTGCAACTTCTTCTTTGATTCACCACTTATTTATAAAACATTGCTTAAATCCCAAATATGGAATTTTCTAATTATGTTGTTGTTATTGACTTCTAGCTGAATTCCACTGTGGTCAGAAAACATACAACATTATTTCACTCCTCTGAAATATACTGAAATTCCCTTTATGATCCAGAATATAATCAATTTAGATAACTGCTTCATATGCATCTGAAAGTAATATATACTGTAGCTGTAAAGAACACTGTCCTATGTATATCAATTAGATCATTTGTCAATCACATTGTTCAAATATTATATACTTTATGGGGTATTTGTTGGTTGTTTTATCAGCTATTGAGAAAAGTGCTAAAAATCCCCCACTACAATTGTGACTTGTCTGCTACTTCTTTTAGTTAGTTCTGTCAAATATATTTGAAGTCATTTTATGAGGGAATACACATTTAAAACTGTAATATCTTGCTGGTGGACTAACCTTTACATTGTTAACTATCGTTCTGTATCTCTAATAAAGCCTCCTGTTATAAAGTTTATTCTCATACAATGAAGTCAGTAGTATAAATTGATATAAAACTATTTAGGAAAACTGTTAGTATTATATTAAAGCTGATATATGCCTAAACTATGACACAGGGACATACCTAATAAAAATGCATTCATATGTGCACCAAAAGACATGTACAAGTATGTTCACATCAGCCTTTATCATAATAGCCCCAATCTGAAAACAACCCAAATGCCAATCAATAATGGAATGAATAAAAAAAATGTGGTATGTTCACTGAAGGGAATTTTAAACAATAATAATAATAAATCACCTACAACTAGGTGAAGGAACATAGATGAATTTCACATATTCATACTACATAATATCACATAGTACATTCATGCTACAAGTGAAATTTAATGTCGAACAAAAGAAGTCAAGCATAAAAGAGGAGATATTTTATGATTCTATTTATATAAAATTCAAGGATATGTAAAAATAATCTATGGCTATAGAAGACAGAATAATGGTTATCTTTGGGAGAGATGGGTAGTGAGTACATGGGACAAGAATCAATATTCTGGAATGCTAGTAATATTCTATCTCCTGATCTGATTTGAGCTCTAGTTAAATGAATATACTCCCTTTATAATAATATTCATCAGACATATATTTTAAGTTCTGTGCTTTGAGGAATGTATGTTATCCTTTTAAAACTATATATATATATATATATATATATATATATATATATATATACCATTATATCTGCAGACTCATCAAAATTAAAATACCAAGTAACCAAGTATTGGAGAGAATACAGGATGACTATGTTTATAAACTGCTGTAGTAATTGAACTCGTACAAGCATTTTGAAAAATAATTTGGCAATATCTAGGAAATTTAAAGACGCACACATATTGTAAATCCCGGCAATTCCACTGATATGTTTATGACCTAGGAAAGCACCCATGTGTGCACCAAGATACTTATAAATATATGTTCAGAGCAGTTCTTTCAAAGGAGCCAAAAACTTGTATCATCCACTCACTAACCAAGCTGTAGGTAATTTTATTAAACAATTCACAAGAGTGATCCTAAAGAAATATAGTATTATGTCAGAAAATCAAGACTCAAAACAACATTACACAGCACAATTTCATTTCTATAAAGTTAAATGTCAAAACTAAACTATATCTTTTAGGGATGTGTCAATGTATGGTAAATAAAACAACAAATTACCACCTTAGAGTCAGGATAAGTATTAGGTTTTTTCTCTGTGGGTAGGACTAACTGTGGTTTCTGGAGTGCTAATGCAAGTTTTTGTTAAACAGCTTCCCTTTACAGTTACTTCTTAAACTTATATTTTAAGCACTTTTGTTTACATATGTAGTATTCAGGAATTTTTTTTAAGAATGAAAAAGAAACTAAATAATAGCTACAGATAATTTTAGTGAAAACATAAACTATGAAATGGTAAGTGCTGTAAGATTCCAATCTTGAAATAATATATACTATACATGCATAGGAAATGTATTAGAAGGAAATAAATCAAAACATTGACTGGCTATACTCTTTGTAACTTCCTATTTTCCAAATTCTTTAAAATAACCATGGCATGTTTTGTGTGTGTATTTAAAAAGGGAAAACTTAGCACAGAGGAGTAACTGAGCTATTTTCTAAATTAATATATGAACATCACAAAGAAGGAAATGAGGATGTATGTATCCTGGGATCTGTATGCCCATCCCCAGGGCTTCCCATTATTTTCTTGAATGAAAAGTTGTAGGAAGAGGATATTTAATGAGTCTATGTTAAACAATACAATCCAGGAGAAAGAGAGCATAAAGGAAGCCCCAGAGCACCTTGTATTTGGCTTGGTCCACAGCCATTCCTCCTTCTTCTGAGGACCTCTTGAGAAGAAGAGCTGAGGAAAGAGAAAGAAATCAGAGATGCCAGGTTTTCCTTGTGGCCCAGGCTCATCAGATCAGAGGTAGCTTTGGACCCACACCAACCACCCATGGAAGAGACCAGAGGAGTCTGGGATATCTTTAGCATTTCAGGTATGAAAAGGGGAAAAGTCTGTTGTCCAACACCAAAATCTGTCCTAACCTCACACATCAACACACTGTCCACCCTGGCACAATTACAGGCACCCTCCAACTGCACAAAGAATGCCACAAACAGTTACATGATCACACTCACACATCCTCAGTCACAGGCATCCAGTACACTTACTGCTGCTAACATTTATACAACCTCAGTCACAAACACTCAGCCCTCAGATAACAGTCATAGCCACATACTCACAGATTCTCTACACTCCGCTGCCACACACACACACACACACACACACACACACACACACACACAGAGGCACGAATATCCCAGCCAGCCGTCATGGCTCAGTGGTTGAGCCCTCGACCTATGAACCAGGAGGTCACAATTAGATTCCCATCAGGACTCATACCCGGGTTGTGAGCTCGGTCCCAGTGTGGGGTGTGCAGGGGGCAGCGATCAATGATTCTCTCTCATCACTTTGTTTCTATCTCTCTCTCCCTCTCCCTTCCTCCCTGAAATCAATAAAAATATAGCTAAAACAAAACAAAAAGTTATACGAACACACACACAATCACAGTCGACCAAGGGTAAACAGTCACACCTACACACACAGTGCCGCATACTGTCACAATCACACACCTACAACGAGGATATCCACAGTGACACCTGCACACAGAACTCCGCGCATAATCAGTCACAGTGACACACCCACCATGAGGCATACAATCACACTCACACGCACAACGCCGCACAGTCACATAAGGTCACAATCGTACAGATGGAATCTCACACTTTTCCCCAGCCCGACCAACTCACACAGGCCCGAGACTCCATCAGGGACGCACCTGAGAAACCTGGGCAAGCTCCCAAAACCAAGGCGGCTCACCTGGCACTCCACCTTCCTGGGAGGCCCAGGGTTCCACAGGCTAGTGTAGAGGTGGCCCTGTTCCCGCGGGGCCCTCTGGGAAACGTAGTCCCGACCCGGATCCGTTTGGTCAAGATGGCTCCCGTCTCTCGGGGTTTCCCCGCTATCGCATACTCTAGGTTACGCCGACAGCTCTGCCATGAGTCTTTGAGATCTAGACGCAGGCTCAGAATGCGCTCCCACACCAGGTAGATCTCATACCCTGGAGACCAGTTTCTTCCATACACCCGGCCAATCCCAGGGAGTCATATGTTCCTTGAGAAATAGAAAAAGGTAGCCCCGTTCTCGCTGGAAGTTGATTAGAGCCGCAAGTACTTCTGGGAAACGTAGTCTTGAACCAGAAAGGGTGAGGCTCCCGCCCAAGTAGAAGATTGTCACAGATGACTTTCTGCATTGAGCTTTCCCACGGGGACGAGTGGGGCTGTCCCTCTTCTCGGACTTGCAAACCCACTCTGCGAATACTAGGGTCTAACTAAATAGCCATTTTGGCCTTCATCAGGTGGGGAACCTTCACTGCTCAGGGAGTGGAAACCTGAAAGTCTCAGATCCAAGTCACACCAGGGAATGTAATCCCGGAGCTCAGAATGGGGCTGAAGGGGGCGGGCTGTCAAGAGCGTCAATGTGTGTGTTGGGGACGGTAGTGGTGACTCTGAAGATGGCCATAGCGTGTGTAAGGCCATAGGTAATATTGGAAGAGTTACCTCACTTTCTTCACCTGAATACAATGATACTTAGGGGTGTTACCTGTGACCTGGGTTCTTGTGATCCTCCACGTTAGAAATCAAGGGAGTTCGCCAGAAAAAAAGAAAAAGTTCAGGCAAAGACTTGAACTTGTGCACAAGGTAGCCTACACCCAGACAGAAAAGAGGGATGGATCTGCTCCCCAAAGGACTTGAGGGAAAGGCTTTTATTGACGAGGGAGGTGGGAGGGCTCCTGATCTCTGAGCCTGCGCTACTATTCAACTGTTTGGGGTGGGGGAGTGTTCAGAGAGCAAGTAGAAGAGATAAGACATTTTTCATAGGGAGTGGAGGGCTGATTATATTTTTGTGGTGGACTTACCTGGTGTTTTGTTTGTTGGTTGGTTGGTTTGTTTGTTTGTTTTATGGCTATCTGGAGTCTCTGGGATCCCAAGCAGGGGTGGCAGGGTGGTGCCAGCTCTGTGATTTTTTTTTTTTTTTTCTTATCCAGTGTCCTTGGGACCCGGGACCCAGGTTTTATGCTGTCTCAGGGATGCATGTTCTTGTACCATCAATTTTATTTGACTATTGGAGAAGCACAAAGAAAACCAAATTGGTCTTGTTAGCCTACATATTAATTAAGGAAGAAAGCAAAGAGAATCGGGCATTGTTCAGCCTAATGGGCTGGAGAGCTGAAGTGACATTTAGCCTGTTTGCTTCATCAGGAAGCTATAGCTTCACTAGCTTCACACATACTACAGGGAATCACAGAATTGCCCGGACAAGGATTAACACCCTTCCCTGCCCTGCTCTGGTACTGAAGATTGGGGGTGGGAGGGTCTGTGTGGGGGGCTGGGGGGGGGGGCGGTGAGAGAGCAGGGGGAGATAAGGATCAGTGCAATAGCAGTCAAAATGGCACAGTGGGGAGGTACTTGACCACAGACACCTGTCAGTCTAACCTGGGAAAGGGATCATTGGCTAGGAGGTGGACCCATCAGAAGCCGGGGAAATCTTGGGAAGGTGATTGGTTATTTTTTTTTTTAAAGCGCCTGGTCCTTTAAAATTTCTGGGGAACAAAGAGTGTCTCTCTCTCTCTCTCTCTCTCTCTCTCTCTCTCTCCTTACCCCCCCCCCCCCAAAAAAGAAAACAACAACAAAAACACACTTTCATGTGGGTCTAGCAGCCCACCGGAGCTGAGGCAGACTGAATAAGCTCCAAAGGACTAAGCTCTAATATGAAACAAACTCTGGACACTGGTCTTTATGAAGACAAGATTGGACTTTTTCCATGAAGGTACAGAGGGAGATGGGACATTGAAAACCCAGGGGCAGCCTTCCTGAATAAATCTTGCCACACCACAATCTCCTGTGCATGGTACCCTTGGAATTGGGATGCTTTCCTTAAGATCCCGTGGAAGAACCTGATTTCCACTGGCAACAGTCTGTTACATAGCTTTAAACATATTTAAAAATAAAATCATGTCTCTGTTCTTTGCGTATGGCTATGGATCCCACACCTTCTGTTTCTTTAAGGATCTTGCTTTCATGCATACAATTTCAATCTCCTCTGCAGCACTTAGAGTTATAATTTATTCCTTTCCAGTCTTTCATGGTTCTCTGACTATCCCAAGTTGGGGAGAAAAGTCTTGTTAATATGATCAGTACAATAGCCTAGATATGAATCTTACCTCTTTCACCATTTGGAAACAATTCAAAGTTACAAATGGGGACCAAAACAGCAAATTCCACTTTCAATAAAATTAACAGGCAGGAAAAGTCCATGAACTCCAAAAACACATGAGTCCTTCCTAATGATGAGGAAAATAAGATATGGGGGGTGGCGGGGGTGCCAGCACCCTGACTCTGTATCCCTAATGCACATTCCTGTTAGCTTATAGTCCACTGCCCCTTTCTTAATTATCTGGTCTTGCAAGACCTGTTTACCTAAATACTTCCATTTTACAGAGGCCATAAACCATGAACAATACACAACCCCCGGAGGGGGTTATCAGCACTGGCATCAGGCCAGGCCTTTAGATGTGGTCTCATCGCCCCCATCCCAACACACGGGGCTTTTTGTGAAGCCTGCTTAAGTTTCAAAAGTATGATCCATATTTGGGGGACAAAGAAACCAAAGGGTATAAAGAGAAAGCTTCCTCCATATTGGTTTACTCAGGATTTGGAGAACTGACCCCTTGAGTCACTGTACTAGTACATCTGAAAATAAATGGGTTTTTCCTGTATCTATGGGTACTCCTGTGTATTCTTCACCCACCTGGAATACTAAAAATTACATTTTGTAACCAATAGTTGACCTGACATTTCAAGAAAACTGCAAAAGTAGAGAACTGGAGGATAGAAGTGCAGAAAAGCTGTTAAAAGAGGCTCAGAAAATCTATGTACATAAAAATAAGAAAGTCAAAAACAGAAAACTAACATAATGTTCACAATTGTGGAACAAGTGGCCTAGGGAAGGGCTGGCCCAGAGGGCCAGAAACAGAAGCCACAGCAATAACCTTAACATGTTATCTCTAAGGAAAAATCTGGCAGTTTAAATCCAAGTGGCTAGAGGCTTGGGAACAGCCTGCTCCCTCCTCCCCCTGCCTTTTCTCTAACCTCATATGCCTATACATAATTTTCCAAAAGTCTTAATTAACTTAAAGGCTTTGAAGCATTGTTGGGTTAAATAATAAACATCTAGAATATTTTTTTAAAAACTGAAACATTGATTGCTAGACAAGTTTTAATTTGCCCGCTCTTAGTTTTTATTACAGAAGGTCTCTTGTACTTTTTTGAAGGTATATTTTCTTGAAGTAAAAATGCATTTAAAGTATGTTCATAAAAGTTAATCTAAGAAATGCTGGCTGTTTACCTTTTGGTGATCATTGAATAGTTAAGATTTCTAAGAGTGAAGAATTATAATACATTTAAAAAAAAGAAAAGGTCTGTACAAGTTGCTGATGGTATGACAAAAAGAAAGAATATTAGAGTAGAAATACTTAATGGAAGGACTGAGGCATAGTTATACATTTTGAAGGAAAAAGAGGGTGGCTTCTAAAGGTGATCATTTCTGCATCGATCAGACCGTCAAACCTCAGAGGGAAGGTAGGGGAGGGTGTGGGGAAGGGGGAGAGACCAACCAAAGGACTTATATGCAAGCATATAGGCCTAACCAATGGACACAGACAACAGGAGGATGAGGGCATGAGTGGGGGGGATAAGGGGTAACGTGAGGATAAGGACACATATGTAATAACTTAATCAATAAAAAAAAATTAAAGAGGTGATTATTTCTGGAAGTTGTAAAAAAATTTTTGAAAGTTGTAAGAATGTCCATGGAAGTTATAAGAAGTTTATAAAAAGAAATGTTAAAAGGAAATTGGCTAAATGATAAAGGCCAGAAAGCCAGGACAAGCAGAACAGGGAAACTGTGATGTTAAAACAGCATTTGCAACCATCTATAAAACTCTATCTTCTCTAAACCAAGGACACTTAAGAGTCAATAATTTCCATTTTGCCTCCCTAAACAGAGGATAAATAGCTTATGTCAAAGTACTCAGGAAGACTGATGGGAGAAATCCAATTAGTGTCATTTGCTGTTCACACGCAAGAACAAATGAAGTTAGAAAATAAGCCTTATTTTGGTTAGTTCTTTTCTAGTAAGATAATTCAAGTACTTAATATATAAAAAGAACCATCTTTTAATCATAGGAACTGAATTTTGCTAGCCTATTTCCTGTCTAATACACTTTAATATATAATCTTTTGGTAAAATCAAGTTTGACAATACTTCAAGGGTTTGAATTTTAGGAAAAGTTCTCTTGATCTAGAATTGGCTTTAGATCATCCTAATAGGCTTTGAAATGCCTTGAATGTTTGTTTTCTCCCTTATGAAGGAAAGTTTTATACTGAAGGTACATAGGAACCTTTGTCAAATACAATTATAACTAATGGTTATTAATTATAATATTATAGAATGTTGGATTTTATAGAAAGGACAACATTCCATGTCATCTGCATTATAATGAAATCCATAAACATGTCATTTTAAATTTCTTCTTGTCATTTGAAGATAGTTTCAAAAAGACTAGGAGCTTATATTGAATGATAAACTTTGGAGAGGGAACTGCCATGAAGAGAGTAGAGGTCAAGCAGAGTGATATAACATAAAATCTATGTGCAAAAAGATGAGGACAGTCATTTGTAAGGGAAAATTGATCCAGGAAACTAAAATATGTCTCAGTTTTGACAAAAGCATTGGTCCCCAGAGCTACTCAACTCAGGCACTGATACCCCCTGGGTCAAGCAGGGCCTCTACAACCAGCCCAAGCAGCTGACTCCTCAGTAGGATGTGACCTCAGCATGTTGACATGACTGGGAGCCCAGAGTATAGGACTGATACTGTAAGGAGGGGAGTGCTCCACCCAAGAAAGAGCATTTGTGGTGTGAGAAAGGAACTCAGCACAGTGATCCCCATGGCTCTACTTCAGCTCTCTTGACAAAGCCACAAGCCCCAGTCTTTCGTTATACAATTCTAGTCCCCTACAGAAGCCCAGGATTGGTTGTGAACAAGATTTTGTGTAT